ATAAAGAACAAAAGACAGAGAATGGATTGGTGCATGAATATGATAGATACATGGATGGTTTGCAAGGATGGAAAGGACTTAGTAAATTGGTCTTGGTATATATTAGTTTTAGTTAGGCCTCCTTTTCTTATCTTAGGCCTTTTATTTGTGTGGCTTACTATTTCTTATTCCCTTTCTGGGCTTTGTGTAACATTCCTTATGCTCAAAGGGAATAGTCTGATGGGTATGCAAGTATGTCCTATATCCTTTCCAGTGTATATTTGGCATCATAGAGCCTGCAATTTCCTAAGACTTCAAGAGAAGGAAAAGGCAAGAACAATCAAGTCAGGAGTGGACATTTGAGGGCTCAGGAACTGCAATGCTGCCTCTGACTTCCAGAGGAGGCTGTGAAGGTACACCTAGAAACTAGCAGTGAACTGGGAAGGCAAATTACTTTCGTTTCCTTCCTTAATCCCCACTCGCTTGGTGTAAAGAATGGTCTAAAATCATGCCACTAATATATGAGAACAAAACTGTGAAATTTTGTTGGAATCATTTTGGACTACTTTGAGAGTGTATGTATTAAGGTTTTTAAATATCTAGGCATTTATTTTTCAACACAAACATGAAACCTGAGATCTTACAATATGGGGTAAAAGATACTAATGAAATAATTAGGTTTGCAAGATATAAGGGCAGTGAATAACTATTTCTGCAGCAAAGTATTTCAAGCCAAGTTGTTAAAGCTTCTGATGTACATTGTACAACTTTGTATTTATCAGGATATAATCGCTTTAGAAGCATTTCATCCAAAATTCTTGAGAACTATGCTCTGTGTCTCCTGCTCAGTAACAAATACATTCCTTCTGCTAGCACTCACCTGTGCCTCTGCCTTTTTTGTCTGAAATAATGGTTAAGACAAGCATTTGGGGGCAAGTCCCTGGACCAGTTTATTCTGGCAGATAAATACACCACTTCTTGCACGGAGCTGGTGGTTAAGTAGAGTTTTCGATTTAGATTTACAGAATGATAATCTAAATCTAAAATCTCCCATCGCCATTATAAATACTGTGTAAAGCGATGCACATTGCCACAACTCCCCCCCCCCCATACATTGCTGGGATCTAATTATCAGTGACTGAGCAGGAAAGGACCTTGAATCACAGTGGAGAACTGAATGAAAATGTGAACTCAACATGCAGCTGCTGTAAAATAGGGAAATTCCTTGCTTGAAATAATTAGGAAAGGAATTGAAAATAGTATTGCTAATGTAATAATGCCCTCATACAAATCCATGGTAAGACCACACTTGAACTACTGTGGTCACTGCACTTTAAAAAGGATACTAGAGAGCTAAAAATATAGAAAAGAAGCCCAACAAAATGATTAGAGGGCTGCAACAACTCTCCCATTTATTTATTTAGTTTTGTATACTGCCATCATTAACAAGCTCCCAGTGGTTAACATTATAAAAACGTAAAAACATAACAACATAAAACAGACAATAAAGCAATCGGCCTATAACTATAGATGGCACTAAGCCCCATCATCCTCCAAAATGTCTTCACAAAAGTTCACTTTTAACCAATTTCTGGCAAGCTGTCAGGATAGGCACCAACCTAACTTTCAGCATAGATATTATTTCATAGAGGCCATTACAGAAAACAACTGTTTTTGAGCCCTAGCCCATCTCATCTTCCAAAAACAGGAAACTGTTATTTTGTTCCAGGAAGAGTATACTGGAGTAGTAGAACCTGCTTGGAGGAGGCAGTCCTGGAAATATCTCGAAGCCAAGCCTAGAGCTTTATAGATTAACACCAGCACTTTTAACTGCACCTGGAAATCTATTGGGAGCCAACATAGGGTCTATTGCACAGGTGTAATATGACTACAGCAACTATCACCCATCAATAAATGAGCTGCTGACATTTGGATCAATATATAGCACACTGTAGTAGTCCAGTTCTATAGTGCTGAGGAAAGATTACAGCCATTGGGGTTCTTTAGCTGGAACAAAGGAGGAACAAGATGATAGCAGTATACAAAATCATGCATAGAATAGTATTACATAAAATTTTGCATAGAACAGAATGATTACTATAAACCACCAAGAGTTTTGTGGTTGCAAGTACAATAAGTCAATCAGGTGGATAGAAAATAATTTCTTCCTCTCACAATAAAGGAACTTTAGATACTCTTGAAATTAATGCAGCGAAATTCAGGACATAGAGAATGACACATTTGCTTTACACAGAGTAAATTATGGAATTGACTGCCAGCAATTGTGATAACGTCAGTTAATTTCAATGGTTTTAAAAAGGGACAAGACAGGTTATGAATGTGACACAGAATTTTGGACTAGATGGGCCCATTCTCTGATTCCATGTCATCTATCCCTGGTTTATTATTTAGGATGTTGCGTGACCCCAGCCATTATAATTTCATCAACAAACCATGGGTTAGGGTTATGTGAGAAGCCAGTCAATTTATAAAGTATCAGATAAGACATAAATGTTTTTCAAATTCCACTAATAATATGGCACAAAAGATCTGTTGAAGGATAATTATGCTTCTTTGAATAAGCATGCCACAAAGTGAATAGAATTACTTTCTGAAATAGACTTATCATGAACAATAGCAGTAAAATACTGTAGATCGGAATCCCAAATGCATGTCATTTTGGAGATTTTTGTTAAGCTGGGGCTCTTGGTTCTACTGTAACAATAACCCATCAAGTAATTCTGCTGGATCAGAAAGGGTAGAGAAAATACATTAATGAACAAAACCATCTAATCTAAGCAATTTTTTCTAAATTAGGGCAAAGAAATAAGAGTTAGCTAATTTATACTGGGCAAACAGATTTAAATTCTTGCTTGATACCAATTTATTATAGTTTCTTCTAGCACTTTTTTCCTCAGGTTTGTCTAACCTAGTGTTCCTCAGCCTCAGCAACTTTTAAAATGTGTGGACTTCAACTCCCAGAATTCCCCAGACAGCATGGGAGTTAAAGTCCACACATCTTAAAGTTGCTGAGGCTGAGAAACACTAATATAATCTTAATGGTTTGAAATTTAGAAGTCAGCAAATCCTTAACATTTGCTGTTAGAAAACTTCATTTGGGAGTTTTGGCAAATTAACAGAACTTTTCTTTCTTTAGAGATGGCAGAAAGTGTTTTGTTTTTTTGAAGATGTTAGACCTTGCTGTTTGCACTTGAAATATTTCTATTGCCTCTTCTTTGAGATACAAGCTCATAGGAAATCAGGTTTTATACAGCACTATAGGATGAAATGGTAAGATAAAAGTAGTATTTTAACAAATATTTAGGCTGCATTCATACAACATAAAGCCAAACCATAATGACTTGGTTTACACAATACAGTAAGCCAAAACCAAAGATACTATATTTTGGTTTACCATGTTATTTGAACCAGCCTTTACATCTGAGATTATGGTATTTCCCACCCCCCCCCCCCCCATTATAGATGTCCATTCAATTGTGGCTGTGCTTGGCTGTGCCCACATGAAGACAGGAAGCCACAATGATACAAAAATGACATCCGTGCAGAGATGTCATAGCGCCAAACACATACTTGCATCCCAATATTTGTTGCAAGTATATATGTTGCAAGATTTTGATCATGGTGCACATTTCATTATATGATCCACCTTATTCCCTTTGTGGACACACTGATTCACTGGCTTGTTTGCCTCCAGTTTGGAAATGTCTTCCTAAAGACATGGACAAGGTGGCAACAAAAAAGTCACTGGGGCATGAAATAGCCTAAAGGTGAAATGGCAAAACTTGCTGAAATGGCAGGATCTGCCACCTCCAGCTTCCCCCAAAGAACACTGAGGAATCTGGAAAGCAGCATCTATTGCAGATAAAAAGAATGGGAAAGAAATTCTAAATCCGTGTTTTTCAAACTTGCCAACTTTAAGATGTGTGGACTTCAACTCCCAGAATTCCCCAGCCAGCAATTCCCAGTAATTCTGGGAGTTGAAGTCCACACATTTTAAAGTTGCCAAATTTGAAAAAGACTTTTCTAAATAAAAGTACAGTGCTTATGACTCATTTCCCTTCATGACTTTTTTTTTCTTTTAACTTTATTGAACCTAGGTTACAATAGGATGGAGTCTACAGATGACAGCGCAGTCCTGCAATCAGACCTAGCCCGTTCCTACTGCATGATGTGACTGGCGGCTGTTTCTCTTGCTAAGTGGTGATGTGCAAAGAGGGGGGATGAGTTAGAGGAATAAACCAACCGACACTGGCTGCGCCCACAGAAACAGGACAGCACCCTTCAGCAGTGAGTCCAAACAAAAGCAAGATAAATTGTCCATGGAGGCATTGCGTTTCGTGCCAATACCATTTTCTGACAGTTCAAGGAGAGGTGAGCAGTGCTTCAGCTCAGCAGGGGAGGAATCCTCGTCTCCTTCCATCTCTACGTCAACCAGAAAAGCGAAGCTGTGGCTGGGCCGCGCTCCTGAGGCCGGCACCCCCTGTGCTCAGTGGCCCCCATCCTCTGGGCTTCCACAGCGCGCTGGACCCACACGTTCAGCTGTCGTGCCGGCGGGGCTTTAAAACGCAAGTCACCGGAAGAGATGGACGAACCAGCCCGGCTCATTCTCCCCTTTCCCTGGGACCTCGACGCGGGTGTCCGTCGAGACCTCTCGTGCGCACCTGAACTTGGACTCAGCGAGGCACGTGCGCCCTTGCTCCGCTGCAAACGCTATGAGCGTGCCAGGATCAGAAACACCGCTAGGAAGAAAAACCTCGCTTGCCACTTCCCAGTAAAACCGCGCTCCAAAAGTAACGGGATGCGCCGAAGTCTGCAGCATGAACTTGCGGCACGCGCCTCAAAACAGAAAGCGGGAGGCTCCCGGCGCGCCGCCACGAGCGCAGGCGCCTTCCGCCCGCTTTCCCTCTTTTCGCACTCCGGGATGCCTTCCGCCGGATGGTGTCACCGCGAAGCCTGTCCCCCGGACGGCAGGGGGCGGCTTTAAGTGGGGACGCCAGTTGTGGTGGAACCCGGAAGTGCCCCAGCGGGCGTGGGGAGGTAGCCTCTTTGACCCTCGGCGGCGCCTTTCTGTTGGGCTGACCCTGAACATGGGGGGCTCGGCGGCGGGTGGCTGGGAGCTCCGCGGGGTGTGAGTCAGCGGGGAGGAGCGGCTCTCGGCCGTGGAGGCCTAATGAGAAAACGGACTCCCGGGGCAGAAGAAGAGCCGGAGGCTGCTCGGGCAGGGGTTTACTAATGAGGCAGATGTGAAGAGGCAAAGCAGGAGCACGCATCTGGACGCGTGTCAGGGCTCGAAGGCTAGCGGAGGGGGTTCAAAGGGAAGGAGGGAGGGGACCTCCAGCCCCAGAGGTACGAAGCTGGTGTCTCTTGTACCTGCTGGGGGGCGACGCCGAATTTCGGGGTTCACGTGGAAGCTAGTCCTGAAAGGTACTTGGCTGTTTGGGTGCTTTCTGCTGTGGACTGTGAACTTCTGAGAATATATTGCCGCTTTAATGAGTGATGTTCTGTTGTCTTAGACCATAAAAATATGAATTATGGATGAAGTGTGAGTAGGATGTTCTCTTTCTTACCAAGCCGCGGTTAACTGAATTGACGTCGTATGCCAAGTCACGTTATGACACTGATATGTGAAGCAGACGATGCACACAGGTTTTGAAACTTCGCTCTGGATGGACATGGCTGGGGCAGTAGTGTTGTGTGCTACAGCCAGATATTTTAGAGAACTTTTTCAAATATTTGCTTGCTTACATTCGAAAGAGAAGATCATAACCATTTATGGGCAGAATACAAATCCATTCAGATTATAAATCTGAGTATATCAGTATTGATGTCCTAATTACATTTTGCACTTCATGTCTACTTATATTGCTGCCTAAGAGCTATGTTGCAAGGCAGGTTACTGAAAGTACTTGAGATTTAGTTTGCTGTGCATTTCAGTCCTATGTAACAATATAGAGCTAAGTCATTGATTGGGTTAAAAAATTTATATTAACCCCAAATGTAGAAATTTAGTTTTGGCTTAGCATGATTAGATTAGATTGGATTAGCATGAACAAGACATTGTGCTGGATGCTGTCATTTTAACTACAGTGTCATATTTGTTTCCTAAAAAATCATTGTTTGATGGCTATATAGATAGATATGCATGCGTATAGATTTCGAATGCACGCATGCATGTTTTCTCCATAGTTGGACTAAGTATGCATATAGTAGCTACATCTTTAATTCTGTGGCCATTTAGCTGATAGTAAAAGCCACAGATTCCACTGGACTTACTTTTACTTTTTAATAGCTATTTATATATTGCACTGTTAAATTTTCAAGTAAATATACATGGATCCAAACTGTTAGAATATAGCATTTTAAATCCACGAGCTTTTATTTAATGCTTTGTGAACCATAGTTAGTCCTAAATGGTTATGTATACTAAAGTTACAATATGTTTTCTTAAAAGGCTCTTGTCAATAAAGGCACAATGCTGGAATCCTATGTAACTCCTATTCTAATGAGTTATGTGAATCGTTATATAAAGAATTTGAAGCCCTCTGATTTACAGTTGTCACTCTGGGGAGGAGATGTAGTTCTCAGCAAACTTGAACTAAAACTTGATGTACTTGAACAGGTATGTTGTTATGATTGTAACTATTTTGATTAAATATGAAATAAAACTGTATCCTAACATAAATTATTCTTAATGATAATAGTCGGGGAATGATATCTGTTATTAGATTATGATATTTGAATATATATGTATATAATTATAATGCATGAATATATTTCATGAGTCTTTGTAATGTTGGTAAATATTGTACGTGTCTAAATATCCGTCTGCATCATAATCCATGCGATAAAATTTTGGAAGGATTTTGATTAAATTCAACAGGCAAATTCTTCATCAAAATATTGAAATAGGCCTAGTAGTTTCTATCATACAAGTAAATGAGCTTTCTTCTTTTGATAATTAATACTTGTCAAATACTATGTAGCAAGAACACTTTTTTTTAACCTAACATTTTGTTAAAATGTTTTAAATTGACATTTTGTACATTGAAGTCTTGAAGCTATACTATAAAGAAAAATACTTATAGTATTATTTATTTTTCATTGTTGACATGTAAACTGGCCATTGATAAAACTTAAATTTGATCAATGGGCAGTTATCAAACAATTGACAGAAAATACAGAAATTCTCATAGTATAAATAAGCAAAAAGAGCATAAACATCTCACACAATATATTGTAGCTTAAAACAACTGTTATAAATATCACTGGTATTTTCTGGTTCGTCAGCTTTGGGTACTGCTTTACATTTACCATCTAATTATTATTAATACTGAGAGGTGATAGGTCTTTCTTCAGTTATTTTAGTAACTGTATTTTCTTCTCTGACATATACATACACACATTACTTTGCTTTATCAGTGTATAGCATACTTGCCTTCTTAGAACTTGGCTCTCATGTAGATGTAAACCCCATTTCTCATAGAGACTGTATTGATAAGGCAGAAACGGTATTTTCTTATGTCTTATTTATTTAGTCTCTCAGTCCAGCAAAGAATGCAGATCCATAAATATATGATGCATATGAATCTCTGCTTTAGAGAAAATTTCATGGGATCAATATATAGCGAATCATATATATTGAGACATGAGTTGTGCTTTCTAATCTCTTGTGTCTATGTAGAGTCTCTAACTTATATTGCTCTAAAATTCTTGAAGGGTTACATTAAATGGGATTGTTTTCTGTAGATATTGTAAGATCATTTATTTATTAATTTAAGCAGTATTTTACTGATCAGTAGAAATCTCGATAGCTGTACATGGTTAATATATTTCATATTTTGTAAGCTATGCTTTGTTTATCTTGAATCTTCAAGTACCAGTTATAAAATCCAAATACATTGCATTTCATACAACATTATACATTTATATTGTCATGCTTTTTCTTATACTGAGAAATGAAAATTGTTTCGTTGTTTGTGCTTAGCCACATCCAGTTTCATGTACCCAGCCCCCCCTTTTTTTCAAGCCTGTTAAATGGCAGCAGAGAGATACATAGCTAATATATCGTCACCCTTTTTAACAGGGTAGCCTCATGAAGGTGACATACATGATTCCTTTCTTCTTCTGGCCTAAGAGTCAGTTCTTTGTTTTTGGTTTTAAATAAGGCAAAGTTGACTATTCATAACTTTGCCTTGATAGACTAGGAAGCAATTGCTATTAAACTGCAAGTCTGCTTCATAGAACCTGTTGAATCGTGTATTCTTTGGAATCCAATTCTTTACTTTGAATGGGAAAACTAACTGCAGAATACTATTTGAAATGTGCCAATATTGTTAGCTTTCAAAAAAGAAACAAGCTGAACTGAGTTTTGATAAGTGTAAGTAGATGTTTTAGCAACTCATTTGATTTAAGTTAGGTTTTAATAGCTAACTCAGTCATCTCATGTACTTTTATTTTCAAGGAGCTGAAATTGCCGTTTACTTTTTTAAGTGGACACATTCATGAGTTGCGCATTCATGTACCATGGACAAAGCTTGGTTCGGAACCAGTAGTGATTACAATCAATACAATGGAGTGCATCTTGAAGCTAAAGGATGGACTCCAGGTAAAAACTGCAAGCCTAAATAAGACAACGTGAACTGAATCATATGGCATCCTGATATTGTTAATTGTTATTAAAAGTGCTCTCTTTTAGTCATCTTATGTTTATAATTTTGGAAAATACTTTACAACTTTTGTGAAATTATGATTGAAAGTTCAGAGTGTTTTTTTTATTATGTTTTCCCTCAAATCAGTCAGCACCATTTTTTGCTGAACTGGCGATAGGTTTGGCCTTGAGAACAACATGACCAATCAAAATATTTCAATTTTTTTTTAAACCAGCTAGTGCTCTGCATCTCTTTACTTGAGATGACTATTTTTGTGACATTAGGAAAAGATGCAGAAGTGTATTCTTTGGTCTAATATACAGTGGGGCAAAAAAGTATTTAGTCAGCCACCAGTTGTGCAAGTTCTCCCACTTA